ATAGACTTATTTTCCGGCAATATTTGTAAAACAATTGTTTAAGTATGGAGATGTTGATAAATAAAGACAACACATTGTTGTAAAACTAGTCATTCAGCTTTCGCTCCAACCAAACCATTGGCGCTAAGGTAGCATTAGAGAAAATCAATCAGATTAAAAATACGAGCATACGTTTAAATTATAACTTTTTTAGTAGAAACGTTTTGGAATTTTGGGTCCTCAATGCTCTTCAACTTTGTACTTGTTTGGCTTTATAACTATTTTGATCTGAACGTCACTGATGAGTCTTATGTAGACGAAACGCGCGCCTGGCGTATTTAATTATAATCCTGGTACCTTTGATAACTATCAGTATATACAGTCCAAGAAAAGTTTTTTACGTTTTTACATATCCGATTCCTCACTTTCAAAGTGTTTAGATTTGAGCGTTCAAGATGAATGTAAGTCCAGGAAAGTATTCAATGCGCAAGCAATTTTCAATAAAAGTAAATTTTTTAAAGAGTCAATTCAATAGAAGTAATTTCAAAACATTACTGACATCTTTTGATACATTTGATCAAACTTAAGGCGATCAAACTGTGTTATTTTTTAAGGAAATGTTTTCCGAAATTGGCGAATTTAATATAATCACATCAACATTTATATCTTGTAGTCTCATTATACACTTATTTTCCGGCAATATTTGAAACAATTGTTTAAGTATGGAGATTGTTGATAAATAAAGACAACACATTGTTGTAAAACTAGTCATTCAGCTTTCGCTCCAACAAAACCATTGGCGCTAAGGTAGCATTAGAGAAAATCAATTAGATTAAAAATACGAGCATACGTTTAAATTATAACTTTCTTAGTAGAAACGTTTTGGAATTTTGGGTCCTCAATGCTCTTCAACTTTGTACTTGTCTGGCTTTATAAATATTTTGATCTTAGCGTCACTGATGAGTCTTATGTAGACGAAACGCGCGTCTGGCGTATTAAATTTTGATCCTGGTACCTTTGATAACTATCGGTAAATACAGTTCAAGAAAAGGTTTTTACGTTTTTACATATCCGATTCCTCACTTTCAAAGTGTTTAGATTTGAGCGTGCAAGATAAATGTTAGTCCAGGAAAGTACTCAATGCGCAAGCAATTTTCAATAAAAGTAATTTTGTTAATGAGTCAATTCAAGAGAAGTAATTTCAAAACATTACTGACATGTTTTGATACATTTGATCAAATTTAAGGCGATCAAACTGTGTTATGTTTGAAGGAAATGTTTTCCGAAATTGGCGAATTTAATATAATCACATCAACATTTATATCTTGTAGTCTCAGTATAGACTTATTTTCCGGCAATATTTGTTAAACAATTGTTTAAGTATGGAGATTGTTGATAAATAAAGCCGAAATTGGCATATTTAATATCATCACATCAACATTTATATCTTGTAGTCTCAGTATAGATTTATTTTCCGGCAATATTTGTTAAACAATTGTTTAAGTATGGAGATTGTTGATAAATAAAGACAACACATTGTTGTTAAACTAGTCATCTAGCTTTCGCTCCAACAAAACCATTGGCGCTAAGGTAGCATTAGAGAAAATCAATCAGATTAAAAATACGAGCATACGTTTAAATTATAACTTTCTTAGTAGAAACGTTTTGGAATTTTGGGTCCTCAATGCTCTTCAACTTTGTACTTGTTTGGCTTTATAACTATTTTGATCTGAACGTCACTGATGAGTCTTATGTAGACGAAACGCGCGCCTGGCGTATTAAATAATAATCCTGGTAGCTTTGATAACTATCAGTAAATACAGTTCAAGAAAAGGTTTTTACGTTTTTACATATTCGATTCCTCACTTTCAAAGTGTATATATTTGAGCGTTCAAGATGAATATAAGTCCAGGAAAGTACTCAATGCGCAAGCAATTTTCAATAAAAGTAATCTTTTTAATGAGTCAATTCAAGAGAAGTAATTTCAAAACATTACTGACATCTTTTGATACATTTGATCAAACTTAAGGCGATCAAACTGTGTTATTTTTTAAGGAAATGTTTTCCGAAATTGGCGAATTTGATATCATCACATCAACATTTATATCTTGTAGTCTCAGTATAGACTTATTTTCCGGCAATATTTGTTAAACAATTGTTTAAGTATGGAGATTGTTGATGAATAAAGACAACACATTGTTGTAAAACTAGTCATTAAGCTTTCGCTCCAACAAAACCATTGGCGCTAAGGTAGCATTAAAGAAAATCAATCAGATTAAAAATACGAGCATACGTTTAATTTATAACTTTCTTAGTAGAAACGTTTTGGAATTTTGGGCCTCAATGCTCTTCGACTTTTACTTGTTTGGCTTTATAACTATTTTGATCTGAGCGTCACTGATGAGTCTTATGTAGACGAAGCGCGCGTCTGGCGTATTAAATTATAATCCTGGTACCTTTGATAACTATCAGTAGGTACAGTTCAAGAAAAGGTTTTTCCTCTTGCCTTCATTTTAGTGAACTTATGTCTGGCTCTAGAATATATCTATTTACTCGGTGAAAATTGAAAAGAATATGATTTAAAAGTTGCACAGATAACTCTTTATATAAGATATGAAAATGTGGTCTTATTTCCTTTGAGATAACCATCTTCAAAACAGAGCCCAAAATGCCGTAACTGTAGGTCACCGAATGGCCTTCAGCAATGAGCAAAAACTATTCCTAGTTGAACTTGGTCTTGGCAAAACTAATTGACCACCTGAGTATTTTATACGCAACACAAACGCCTAGACTTTTGAAACATTATTAGTCAAGAAACTTTCTATTGAGGAAAAAAAAAACCCGCTGTTATTGTTTTTTTTTCCTATTTGGATTATCACATTAATGAAAAAAAAGAATAAATTAATATTCTTGGCAAAGTATCCAGATTAGTCAAGAAAGAATGAGTATGCTTAAATTAGCATATGTCATTCTCTGTTGCTGATAAGAAGAGATGTAAAAAGTAAAATAACAAAAATATCGAACTCCGAGGAAAATTCAAACCGGAAAGTCCGTATTCAAATGGCAAAATCAAAAGTTCAAACACATCAAACGAATGGATAACAACTGTCATATTCCTGACTTGGAACAGGCATTTTCTTATGTAAAAAATGGTGGGTTAAACCTGGTTTTATAGCTAGCTAAACCTCTCACTTGTATGACAGTCGCATAAAATTCCATTGATTGACAACGGTGTGTGAACTAAACAAACAGACACAATAGGTAATAGCACGAAATAAAAACTAGAGATTCTATTTTGACAGGTGTCACTAGAAGATGTAAAGATACAAAACTGCTCGCATTTCTCTACCACCGGAGCAAAGATGTTTTTTTCATTGTTCATCTTTAATATTCTGTGTAATGTTTTGTTGTCTGCTGTTGCCATTGCGTTTTTTTTCTGTTTGCTTTTTACCAGTGTGTTGCATTTTCTTATTAAGTATAATTCTGAATGCCATCTTAGTATTGTGGTACTTTTTATGTTATAGAAAATGCATAGTTTAAGGTTTTTCTTGTCGTATAACACACCATGGGGTGTCAGGATTGATCAAATAAAAGACCGACCGTAGGGAGGTCTTTTTGTGGGCGATCCCGAAACCCCGAGATGTGTTATACGACAGGAAAAACCTTAAAATATGCATTATCTGACTTATATATATCGCCAAAAAACATTATTTTCTGCAAAGATTTTCAGGATTTGCATCTTATTTTACCAACCACACTAAAGTAGGATATTTATTTCGATGATTTCAGGTTTTAATACGCCCTACGGCTCATTTGTAATGTGAAATACAACTCGATTATTATATTCTAGATATAAACTTTGGAAAATTATCCAGTTACATTAAAAAATATTACTGTAACTGCATGAAGCTGGACACATATACATTGTTACGATGTATAAAAAAATACAAGTGACTTTGTAAGTAATTTATTGTATCAACTAAGTTTATGAAAGCGGATGGTATTTTTTTTTGTTTGAATTTCTTGACTTTTCATCGCGGAAAGAGATTATTTTTTCAACAATTTTCAATCGAACTATTGCGAATATTTGTTTTCCCTCTTTCGTTTGCAATACATTCGTTTAAACTGAGAATCATGATTTTATCTTATGCTCCTACTAACCCTATTATAAAGTACGTGGTTGTATTTCTATAGGAAATAAGGAATATTTGATCATTTGATCATTTGATGGAGTAAAAGGTATTAAAGATAGATGTAAAAAGTTGAAAACTGCGACTCGAAGAGAGCACGAAATTGAGATAAATGTACATATAACACGAAAAAAAGAATATCCATGGGTCAAAGTATGATTTCCACTACAGCGCGAATCAACAGGAATTTCAAAATCCTTCACACGAATGTGTTAAATCTTACTTGTTTTAAAAGCGTTATGAAAGTTTCGCATTATTAAATTCATCTTCAATAATGTCCCTTTATTGTGGCAATAAATTAACAAAACTTCACACCATTTATTTCGAAAGTTTAAATGTGCCTCAACGACGATTTTTGTTCTTTCAGTCTAATAAACAAGGTAACTTTAAAGATTTTTTCTGTCATAAACCTATCTAAGTTAGAAAATTAAAAAATAAAACCTAATTTGGCAACAACACACGATAACTATCAAACGAATTATATGTTAAAGTAAATTACTATTTGCATTTTAATCAGGAAAAAGTAATGACCTAACACAGGTAATTATTTTATGCCCTGAAGCAAATCTCATTGAAACTTTGTATCGTTCGAGTTGATTTTTCAAAAGAAAGACCTATCGTTCTGAGAGAAAATAATTCCACATAGGAATATACATTGGCATATGAAATGCTTACTTTTATCAAATCCTTATTGACATTGCCCCAACTAACAACTAGCAACAACTTGGACATCTCTGTAAATATTTATTGTTTGCAACTTGGTACAACCTGCTAAATATATCAATTAAACATGTTAAGTTCTTGTATTATAAACTTTTTTTTTTAGAAAAAGGCAAACTGCAATTTTCTAATGACTGCACTTCGATAAAAAATCAGAACCCGGAAGCGACCTCTGGTGTGCACACAATATATCCTGAAGACAAAAAGGCAGAGAGAGTGTATTGTGATATGAATACAGATGGAGGTGGATGGACAGTAAGTTGAGTATAGCTGTAATAAAAATCATTAGAAATATATATTATAATTTAACCTTCGCAACAGGGTCATTCGCATGTTTCAAGTAAGCAATCTCGTCAATGGTTGTTGTTCGTCTTATTCAGAATTTTGTGTTTAGATCGCCGATAGTTTTTAAACCCTAAATTACTGAGTAATGGAAGTAATGAAACATTGTCTTTTTCAAATCATCAGTTAAACGTTTTATGTAATGGTTGTTTAAATTTGCTAACCGTTTTGTATTAATACGCTGTCATATCTAGTTACAGGAAACCTCCAAGCTGCGGAAATATCCTTGCATGTCAAGGAACCATTGCAAACACTCTTTGACAAATCGGGCAATAAACAGCTGCAAATCCAAATATTTTCCTCTATCCATTCGTTTTTTTTTTTCAGTCCAGACTTCCTGGCCTCTATCTTGGTAGACCCACTACGTATTTGATGATTTGATAGATAAATGAGGTACTGGTCCTGAAAATTCATGAAATATATTCCACTGGACATTCGTACATAATAATCATCCCACCAAATTGTTGTTTTGATTCTTCTCTAGTGTTACGTTAGCTTACGAAAGAGATTAAAAAATTCAATGGAATAATTAAAAGATTTAACAAATGGAAGAACTACTTGTGGGAAGCAAAAAAAAAAAAAAAAACAACAACAAAACATTCCACCATTATCATTTAAAAAAATCACATTTCCCTAGTATATAGACTGATTTATCAGTGACTATGTGCCACTGATGAATCAAATGCAGACACGACACGCGTCATGCTTACCTAATAATAATCCTGGTATTGTAAATGAGTTGATTTTTTTCATCACTATTCCCACAGAACCAGTGACACTTTTGAGCAGTAACTTTATCATTTGAGAAGACGAGTTTAACTGTGATTTTTGTTCATTTCTAGTTGGTTTGACAAAAAAAATCAAATATTGGCACCATGCGTGTATTGATGTTCATACTTCGACAATCGCTTGAAGATTAAGATAACAAACAAACAAATAGGATTTGCTTGAATTCCAAAAAAGCGAGACCAGTTACGTTTATAAGGTAACTTAAAGCAACAAGCGTTAGTTGTCCAATGTTCAAATCTCATCAATTCGTTTAAAAGACAAAACGCAAGCGTGTCCCTCTATTTTGAATGATGAGTATATTAACTATTATACGATTCACTTCAGTAATTAATAATTCATGCGTATTCAGGACGATATACTTTTTCACTCATTTGGTCTTTTGGAAAATGTTGTTTGTGCTGTATTTAGACCCCTCTACCAAGAAATTTGTTTTGCATGCACACGTATAAAATTGCGGTTTTTATCCAACGCAATCATAGGTTTGAACGTTGTTTTCAATTTAGACTTTTATACAAGTCTAAATTGAAAACAACGTTAGAGGGGTCTAAATACAGCACAAACAACATTTTCCAAAAGACCAAAAAAGTGAAAAAGTATAATTTAACAAAACGCATTTGACTAACAGGTCGAACAACAAAAGTTTTTAAACCCTGCTGACTGCCATTGGCGATTGCCAAATAAACGGATCACCGATGTAATAAATTGATCTTAATTATAAATTTAATACTAAACAGAAAACAATAACCTTGCGGAAAAAATGATATACCGCAAACAAAAGGTGCAAAGGTTTTTGTACACCATATCCGGATTTCGACAATTAATGTCTCTTCAGTGATGTTAGGAATCGAAACGGTACTTGGAAAGCCATACAATTTACCTCAATTTAGGATAGACTCTTAAATTTTGAGGAGTCAAAATAGGATGAACGGATCATATAAACCCGAAAGAAAATGTAATACAAGTTTAAATGAAAAAATATAAACAAGTCTAAATTTAAAACAGCATTCAAACTTATGATTGCGTTGGATAAAAACCGCAATTTTTATACGTGTGCATGCAAAACAAATTTCTTGTTAGTGGGGTCTAAATACAGCACAAACAACATTTTCCAAAACCAAAAAAAGTGAAAAAGTATATTTTAACAAAACGCATTTCATAACGCATTAATAAAGCTAATGTGAAGCCTAGGTGGTCGTGTGGTCTAGCGCGTCGGATACAGTGCAGGCGTTTCGGTGTCACGATTTCTCAGTAGCATGAGTTCAAATCCCGGCGAGGGAAGAACAAAAAATTTGCGAAAGCAAATTTACAGATCTAACATTGTTGGGCTGATGTTTAGACGAGTTGTATATATATATATATATATATATATATATATATATACTGTTTTCGATTCCTTACATCACTGAAGAGACATTAATTGTCGAAATCCGGATATGGTGTACAAATTTGCACCTCATGTTTGCGGTATACCATCTTTTCCGCAAGTTTATTGTTTTCTGTTTGCTGATAAATTAATAACAAGATCTATTTTGTTACATCTTGTGATCCGTTTATTTGGCAATCGCCTATGGCAGTCAGCAGGGATTAAGAACATCAGTTGTTTGACCTGCTAGTCAAATGCGTTTTGTTAAAATATACTTTTTCACTCATTTGGTCTTTTGGAAAATGCTGTCTGTGCTGTATTTAGACCCCCTTACCAAGAAATTTGTTTTGCATGCACACGTATAAAAATTGCGGTTTTTATCCAACGCAATCATAGGTTTGAACGTTGTTTTCAATTTAGACTTGTATATATATATATATATATATATATAAGAAAATTAATAAAAGATAATTACGGTTTCAATTCATCACTTTTACTAGGGCTTTCACTGCTTTCAGGTCTTCAGATAATGTGACTTGTATACATAAGTGTTATACAAAACAATTGATTGACGTTAACAATAGTATGAAGTTTACAAATACAAGGGAGACTACTAATGTCATTTAAAAAATTGAGTAAAGTCTTTAAATGTTATTTAAGTAAAAAATAAAATATAATTTATCATTTAATCCCGGGTTGAGAATGTTTATGAATAACTCTTCTTTCTTCTTCCGGAGAAAAATCATTTTGACGATTCACCACAAACAATGGAAATATCTTAAATCGTCCATTAGAACAACGATGAAAATGGTCGTTAGACCGGATGACTGTTAAATCTTCATGGTTGGTTTGCTGCATATTAACAGTTATTCTAGTACTCTTATTTTTTTGTCTCTCCAATATAGAATTCCTCACAATTTGAACATATGAGAGAATAAATGACGTTTGAACTTTTACAAGACATGTTTTGTTTAACTGCTTTTTATATACTTATATATATAAGTATGTCTGAAGAAGTTACGACTCTACAACAGATTTTATCCATCGGATCACCAGCAGTGATGGTGATACAAGGCTGAAAATACATTCTGTATATATAATTCGTCTAAACAACAGCCCAACAATGTTGGATCTGTAAATTTGCGGAAACACATTTTTTTTCTTCCCTGGCCGGGATTCGAACTCATGCTACTGAGATATCGTGGCACCAAATCGCCTTGCACTATGTCCGACGCGCTAGACCATTCGAACACTTAGGCTCTATATAATAAAGCTTTCGGTGGCCGGGTATTACCTTTCCTCGTCAGTTTTTATCTAGCGTCGTAACACGGTACATGATATATATGGCATTAAGATGGAATTGTTACAGATCAGCTGAATTATCTATTGTAAAGGATCCTAACAATGTTCTTCCCTCGCCGGGATTCGAACTCATGCTACTGAGATATCGTGACACCAAATCGCTTGCACTGTATCCGACGCGCATCCCCTCGACCACCTAGGCTTCACAAATATAAAGCTTTCGGTGGCCGAGTGTTACCTTTCCTCGTCAGTTTTAATATAGCGTCGTAATACAGTACATGATATATAAGGCATGAAGATGGAATTGTTACAGATCAGCTGAAATATCTATCAAAAAGGTTCCTACAAATTAATGCAAGATACAGTCACGTCTAAACCAGTGACAACTCTACAACAGATTTATCCATCGTCACCAGCAGTGATGGTGATACATGGCTGTGTACATTCTGTATATACAACTCGTCTAAACATCAGCCCAACAATGTTAGATCTGTAAATTTGCTTTATATAAATGCCTTAACCTTTAAATTTAAAAAAAAATGAAAAAAAAAGTTATTTTGATATCAAAAGTGGTTAGCATATAAAATATTAAATGTAAGTAATCGATAATAAAAACACTTTAAGATTACTCACATTACGCACAAATAAATGTACACTCTCTGCTTGCTCTTGATTGTCAATGGAATGTATATCCCTCTAAAGAGAAACATCTCACAAAATTAATAAATTAAAATGATACTTAAGTAACAATATAAGATTTATTTTTTTAAATTGGTTACTGATTTTGATAAAACAAATTCTAGATTATCCAGAGAAGAATAGATGGATGGTTTCAATTCCAGAGACCATGGATAGATTATGAAAATGGATTTGGAATTGTTGATGAGGAATACTGGTTTGGTAAATACAAGATGTCAACCTGACATGCTTTCTTAATTAAGGATGTAGGAAGGTGATATTAAAAAATTCTAGAGTTTAAAACTGATACTATAAACCAAAATAGTATTAGTTTAGTATTAGGCTGGCTCGGACTTCTACCTTATATTAAGCATTTGCATTATTTAGGTAACAAATCGTAAGAAAAGGATCTAGAATCTGCTTAAATATTAGTAATGACCCTTTTATGAGTTATTGAAGTCTTGTATGAAAAGAAAAGTGAGTGATATGAGGCAAAATATTTCACAATATATCGTAAGGAAAAAAAACCAAGGAGTCCGAACATTCTGACAAAAATTCCTAAACCTGACCTGAGTACATCCTTCAGGCCTAAGCATATCTACAAGTCCTCACGAAATTATCGAAAAAGTAAAATGATGTCATTGAATCTATTCGGTTAAAATGTATGACAGTAAACATTTGACGGGACAGAACTAATGAAGTTTTTTTCCGTTAATTGATAGTATTGAATAATTAAATTTAAATTCCTCGATACAATTGTTGCAATATTTTTAGTAACAATTGTAATAAGAAGAAAACTAAAATGAAATGTACTGCAATAATTTTGCACAGTAAAGTTCAAAAACAGACAAAACAAATAGAAATAAAGAAATATAGTAAAAATAAAGAAAAGTACTAGCATTGTAAATATTGATTTATATGCTGCGTTGCTTATACTATTAGATAATATTCCATAGTTTCCTATCATGTTAATTCGAATACATTTACCTGCATTTTGACATAAAAGTAACCACTTGAGACCTTCTTTTCTTTACCTTCCTTTTATGTTTTGTTGTAACGCTTCTGTACCATATATATTAAAAGGAAACAAACACATTCATAGCCTGACATCCAGTGGTAAATATGAACTGAGAATAGATCTGACGGACCTGTCCAATAGAAAGAAGTATGCTGTGTATAAAACGTTTGTTGTTGGAGATGCAGCGTCTAGGTACAAACTTACTGTTGGGGATTATATTGGAACTGCAGGTAATAAAATGCTCTCAATGACTACTTACGCAGTAAAACGTATTATAGAATTTTTGAATAAACCTATAAAACACCAGACTTTGTAATCGTCAAAACTTTTAAACAAAGAGCTACATGTATAAGGCATAAGGTGTTGTGACAAAAACACTATTTCAGATCCGGTACAGGAAAGAGGGAAATTTCAATATCTGTTTTACGATGATGTTAGTATATTAAAATCGAAAATCACCCTCCACACCTTATTACAACAGCCATTTCCAAATGAGGGTAAAACAAATTCAATCTATCATCTACAAACTAAGTTTGAAATTGCATGCAAAGGAAAATTACACCCTTGATTAGAAAAAATATACAAGTTATTTCAATTGCCATTTTGTGTTTCTTTGTTGAAACTGTTATTTGTTTTTATAGTGATTAAGATAATATTACAACGTTGAATGCTTTATCCCAATTTTTAGCTATTTTATGTTTCTTTGTTGAAACAGTTATTTGTAAGTGATTAAGATAATAATAAAATGTTGACTGCTGTATCCTACATTTTAACGTTTTTACCTATTATGTCTGTTTGTTTTTACTCTCACATTGTTGTCAATATAATGGATTTCAATGCAACTTTCATACAAGTGAGAGGTTAAGCTAGCTGTAAAACTAGGTTTAATCCACCATTCCCTACACAAGGAAGTGCCTGTACCAAGTCAGAAATATTACAGTTGTATTCTATTCGATAGATGTGTTTGAGATTTTGATTTTGCCATTTTATGAAGGACTTGAATTTCCTTTGGAGTTTTTTTGTTATTTTGCGTTTTTCAAGAATCATCTGTTTCGACAATGTTCCAATTCCTGAAATAATTAAAATTTGACACATATAGAATAATTTGAGTGCAAATGACAGACACGCAATTTTAGCGTAAATTTTAAAATTCTGCAACTGATGACCGTAAAGTAACGATATCCATTTATCCGTATAGTTGTTTTGCCAGATAACAAAATATTTTATATGCTCGAGGTGAATAACTTTTTTCAATTTGTTCCAAATCAAATACGTCTCTCAAACAGGATAATTCGAAAAACAATAGTACTCAATTTGATTAAAGGGGAGTGAAAAATAGACAATGTGTACAGATAGGGGGAATTATACTACAAAACGATGATAATTCTTTTTAGTATCGCTTCACCAGAAGCAATTAACTTTATATCAGAACTGATTAGTTATTCATAATATGTTTATCCTTGATATAGGTGATAGCATGACTATCCAGAATGGAATGAAGTTTTCTACGATAGACCAGGATAATGATTTAGATAGTGGAGCTGATTGTGCGAAAACTTATGGGGCATGGTGGCACAACCATTGCGGCGCTAGTTGTCTTAACAGGAGATTCATCAGCAACTTGTGTTGGCGTTCTTTCAGCAGAAACTCAGCCAAAACGTCAGTAATGATGTTACGAAAATTGAAGTAATGGAATTACATATAAAACATTAACAAGCTGAATTCAAAGCTTAATCAAAATTTCATTATGTAGAGTTTAGAATTTATTTGCTAAATGAAGATTAATGCAAAGTAATATTTATTTCGTTAAAGAACACTTAATTCGAGATACAACATGTATGGAATAAATTATAACTCCAGAGCAATAAAATAAGATAGGTGAACGTAAATGAGACAGCAATCTCACGACAAAATGAACCAAACAACATACGAGGTAAAACAAAAGGACGGTATCAATGCCCTTTGGTATGCTCAAAATCGCCTTGAGTCTTTAAATGAGATTGAATTGATTAAAGAAAACAGCTAAAAAAACAAATTCTCTTTATGTTAAAAAAACTACAACAAACAGCAACAATAAGATGATAAAATATTCAGACGTGACATATAACACCAACTGACAAAAAACAATCGAATAACAAAAATACCGAACTCAGAGGAAATTTCAAAACGGAAAGTCCCTAATTAAAATTTCAACACATCAAACGAATGGATAACAACTGTCATATTCCTGACTTGGTACAGGCATTTTCTTATGTAGAAATTGGTGGATAACCTGGTTTTATAGCTAGCTTAACCTCTCACTTGTATGACAGTCGCATACAGTTCCATTATATTGACAACAATGTGTGAACAAAAGAAACAGACATTATAGGTAAAAATGTCAAAAATATGGGTACATCAGTCAACATTGTGTTTTAAAATTAATCACTATAAAAACCAAACCTATGTCAACAAAGAAAAACTAAAAAAAAGGATATAAATAAAGCACACAGAATACAAAAATTTACCATAGCACAATAACACAATGACGGGATGAATAAGTACCGAGCCACGTCAAATGGATATTACTAATAGACTAAACAGTAAAAGTAATAGTTTACAAAGACAAATAAAAGAATACTATAACACGTAATTAAAGATGCTAAACAACGTCAGTACCTAGAATCTATACTTCAAGATCATCGTGTATTATTTGTGAAGTTGATACGGAATATTTGATGTGATCAGTAACATTGGTGGGATTGACCTTGTTTTTGTTGATACAACCAACTGCTCTAAAATTACGATACATGGACTTACGAATTCTATATTGAAAAAAACATGTTCAAAAATAGTGCTGAAAAAAAACAACACTTCACTGTATTATTACGTGAAAGATGTAATTAAAAAACACAAGTAAAATCTTAAACGGTAATAAACAATATAATAAAATCGAGAATGGAAACGGGGAACGTGTCAAAGAGACAACAACCCGACCAAAGAGCAGAAAACAGCTTTAGGCCACCAATTGGTCTTCAACACAGCGAGAAAATTCCGCACCCTGAGGCTGGCAGCAGTTGGCCTATAAACTAAAATTGTGTACTCATTCAGGGATCGTATCAAATAGTGCTCTCAGTTCTTGTAAGGACTATAAAAAAGCACCCTTCTTATGCTTATCGTCTTTTATCGTATTTGACCAGCAACGCCACAAAATCAATTGTCAATTATTGTATGTCAATAAAACAATTAGATATTATACATTATCTAACATTGGAATTAAAGATTTTTCTTCCAATAGTGTGTGTCCACTTGGTTAAGTGAAATGCATGAAGCCGCCGTAACGTCTGGTTGGAATATATCTGATGCCTTGTGTAGGGAGAAGGTCACATTCTCCGCACACTGAATAATACAAGCACAACTCCTATATGTATCCGTAACGTCCTGTTCCAACAAGTGCACGGCAAAATGGCATGGCAACCTCTTTCAAATTCTAGTCTAAACTTTCTCGCTTAATCTGTTTTGTAAAACCCCTCCTCTAGATTTTTTATTCATATGTTCTCGTTAAAAATACACTGGATATTGGCAAAACATCAACATAGCACTAATTAATATCATTTTCAAACTTGGTCTGATTATGTCTCAAAAGATGAGGAATACATCAATGTATTCTGGTCTGGACTCATTGATACCTTGCTTTTGAATAAAAAAAAACCCAACTTTATAATTTGGATTATCCAGATAAAAAGACACAGCAGCTATATGAAAACAAAACTTTATTAATTTAGTATGGAGTTATTCATGTTTTACAAAAAAAAGTACCAACATGAACCTTGAAAAATAGCAAAATCTATCCGGTCCAATTCGCATGATAGACCAAAAACCTTAATTTCGTAATAATGTATTATTTTCACAACGAGCAAAATGCAAAATAAATGATGTCCTTTATCAACTACGGTCTAAGAATGCCTCAAAAGTTGAAGAAAAGGTTGTTTTCTGCTCTGTGGTCGGGTTGTTGTCTCTTTGACACATTCTCCGTTCCGTTTCCATTCTCAATGTTACACTATAAATTCATGGACTACTAAATTAATCATGCTTTTATTCACAACAACAACAAGTGCAATTTGGGCAAACTATTATTTTCTGATGTTTTATCTTGATTCACACGAACAACGTATAACAAAATAAGTAATGACAACGGTTTGTAGATAACTTGTAGAAAAAGAAAACGTTTGAGATTACGGTTTAAAACACTCTTATAAAAAATTTAGACATAACCAAAATTCATCGGTCATGAAGTTTGTTAAACCTGAAACATAACCAGCTGGTCACATCATTACTGGTGAGCTGAACATTGTTGATAACTTTTTCTGTGACATGTGTTATCTTAAGGCCTATAATATCGTGCGTCTTAATCCAGCAGTTGGAAACACAATTTTAAAATACGGATGTATTCAGTCGAGATTATTAACAGGCAATGTGCTAAACGTAAAAAACACGACATAGACACTCTTTTCGAATGGGTCAAGGCTGTAAGGTCGTCAGATACAAATTAGAATTGAAAAACTGAAGGGGTACATGAATACACATTTTATATCACTCCTTAAAAACTCAAATGTTGCTATGCACCTGTCCTTCCTCAATGATAAATGTGTTGTTATTCCCGCAGATAAATCCCCAAACAACATCTGGTTTGTGTGTAAATCACATGGTATAAACTGCTTGATAAAGGAATTAGTTATTGACAGTTCACATGGAAACATGACATTTAACCCTAAGACACTTACTTTGCAGGAAATTCTGAAAAATCATAGGTATGTTATATGTTCCTTTGGAAATTCAAACAAAGATAAAGAATAAGATCTTTCTTTACTGTATTGGATACCTTAATTCCATAAGTGCTTTAACAAACACAAGTATGTTGCTTGGTCGTCAAAGTGTACAGCGAAACCTCTTTCTAAATTATAAAAATCCATTGTATCAGCAATTAAAGCCGGGCTTCATTGTAGTTGTGAAACTACCTTCTATAAGGGCGATGTGAATCATATTTGGACACTAGTCGTATTCGTCTTACAATAATATTAAAACATTCAAATTTTCTATCCATTACACAAGTATTTCCCTTTCCAAACTAAGACAAATTGAAATAATTGGTCCTGCCTTGTTTCATAAAAGTAGAATAGCCAACGTATACAAGTATTTTGTCTTAGGGAGGAATACATTGTAATTTGTATAAAAACACTCGGACTGTAACAAACATCATTTGAATCTGACATAATCAAAACGCTTTTATTTCTTGATCGAAAACATGTTTGTTACTTTTGGAGGACGTGTTTTCAACAAACGATCGGCATTCCAATGGGGACCAACTTTAATCCCCTTCTTACCGACTTGTTTCTTTAATAATATGAAGATGACTTCCTACAGGAGCTTCTTCGAAAAAATGAATAGAAGCTAGCATGATCTTTTGATTTAAAGTTCCACTATAAGGTTGATGTCCTCTCATTAGATAATTCAAAGTATGGTGACTATGCTGAACGTATCTATCCTATCGAACTTGAAATAAAGCATACAACAGATATTCCGCATCATATCTTGACTAACATCCAGATATTGACTATGAGGATCGGTTGAGAACGAACATTTACGACACAAGAGATGATTTCAACCTCCCAATTGTATCTTTTCAATTTATATATAGCTACATTCCAGCAGCGCTTGCATATGGAGTATATATCTCTCAGTTGATACGATATTCCAGAGCTTGCATTTGCTATCATGATTTTTTTGATAGAAGGTTTTTGATTACAATGAAACTTTTAATCCAAGAGTTCCATGTGGTGAAATTGAAATCATTTCTTCTACAATTTTACAAACGCCATTACGAGTTGATTGACCGTTATGGAATATCTGTTTCACCGATGACGACGGATATTTTCCAATTGTCGTGACTACAATGACGTCCTCATTTCTTCGAATATAACCTACCAAATTAAACTTATCACCGGTTTGTTACTCATCGGAGCAACATGGCGGTGCCACATGTGGAGCAGAATCTGCCTATCCTTCCGGAGCAACAGATGTCACCCCCGGTGGTTGTTGGGGTTCGTGTTTCTCAATCTTTAGTTTTCAAGGTTTTCTTTTAGTCTTTTTGCCTATTTGTTTTGTTTTGTCATTGTCAGTTCTTTTTGGACTTAATGGGTTTGATCGTTTTTTTATAACCCAATAATACATACAGTCAATTGTTAACTGAAGGAAACATTTACAAGCCTTAGAATAGGAAATAAATATTCATCAAGATGATATTAATGAAATACCTTTAAGGTTTTTTATTTATGCACCAGTGTGTATTACAGTTTTTTCAATCTAAGTGTAACGATACAAAAGTAATGCACTGTACACAAATCAGACTATGTTTTACTATCACAGTGGTCAAAGGTCAAAGACAAAATCAGAGTTCTCTGTCTTTGATATTTGACACATTCTTTCCTATGATGCATCAGCATACCAAGTTTGATCAAAGTTCATTATTTCCAAAGTGATCTATTGATTCTCTATTGATTTTTCATTCAATTATCATTTTTAACATTGACACCTTTGTTCTTAAGGTAGGAAAAATGACAAGGATATTATGAGATATGAAAATTTTTCTTAAAAATTATGATAAGAAAAGTAGGTGTTAGTGGACAAATTATTCATTGGCACTACATGTAT